AAACAGGCAATGATACAACACTAATCCACAGACTGAGGATGTTATGTAGAAGAACTGACTAGTGTTGTTGGAACTGTGGTATTTTTAATCACTGTTCACTGTTAAACTTCCTGGAAAAGCAACTGCCTTGCCAAAGTAACTTCTTGGTAAGAAGTTGCATGGGAAAATATGTCCTGCTGGACTAAGCAGATTTTGACTAAGAGACATTTTGGGTATACCTTCCTTTCCCCAAATGAGGAAAGTGCATTTAATCCTTTCTGGACAGAGCATCTCTGACAAATAGAATTACTGCTTCTCATTCTTTTAATTTCCTTGCTGTAGAGCCTGTACTTGCCTCTGGGCAAATGAAGTGGTTTCTTTTCTTTGACTTTAATTGCCTAGCTACAGAGGAGACAAATTTGAAAGTCAATTATATCTGGTTTTATACTTCTAATCCGACCTCTCTTTGCTAATTTGTATTCTTCCCTCACATTTAGTATTTCATCAGTTTTGTTCAATTAATAAAGCAAAAGCCATGTACTCTCTGTAATGGTACTTTTCATTTAGCTCAGCCTAGGCAGATCAGGAGCAGTGCTTTAGAGCTGCCATTGGCAGCAAACCTTTCTTTTTATATGTTGATTTATGAATTCAGAGTTGGGGAACAAGTTACCCACCCAGTAATTGTGTATGTGGCAAGAGCTTCTGCTTATCTAAAGCTATAGTACCTGCAGGTATGCAGCATATATCACACATGGCTTGCTTTCAAATGCTTCTCTTTCATTTAATACAAAGCACAGTTAAAATAAGAACAACTGACCTGAATTAATTGCAAAGTCTATCTACAGTCTCTATTTATCTACTGTGTCTGTAAACTGATGTCTGTGAAAGAATATAAGATCAGGGCCAATGCCTGGTACTCCCTCCCAGTATCCTCTAGTGCTTCTTGATGAACTGGCTGTTAATTTTTAAGGATTGTTGAAAATCTGAATTCTAGTGATAATTAGTAGAACCTTCTAATTAGACTGCTAAGAAATCAATAGCATATGTCTATAAATTCAGTGACTCTTCTGCCTTTTCAGAGCAGTAGATAACATTTGTACACCTGCAGATTTGCAATGCAATTTTAGTAAAAATGTAAAATGTTTTAATATGCAAGCTTCTACGTTTCATCATTGTTTAAATGGCTTTTTACTTTTGTAGTAAATAACCTAGTGCTGCTTACAGAGCAATAACAACTATTTTGAGAAAGTCGTCTTCTTGCTTCTACATTGCATCTTGTTCCAATGAAATATGAACTTTTAACATCTGAAATCTGATGTGGTATATGTGAGTAAATGAAATCTAGGTGATAATATGCCGGGAATTTGTCTCATACACATTTTGAATTCTTCTAGGAATAGGTTATGAAACAATTGTAATAGTTTTATTTGATCTTGTAACTACTGTAATTGCCATGTACAAATGTTTGAGCCTAATGCCTAGTATTGACTGAACAATAAATAAAACAGGTGTATCTTATATAAAACCAAATTATTTTTTTTTGCTATTATCAGAATTGAAAAACTTTGCAATGCAAGAGAGAATATTTAAGCAACCTTAACAAATCATTTTAGTGAATCTTAAAATAGCACAGAAATACCTGGTCAATGTTAATTTGCCCAGTAGTATACCACTTCTGATTTTTAAAAGGTGGTGGTGGCTTTTCTGTTTGTTTCGTTTTGTATTTTAGTTTGGCTCTTGTAAATGTTATACAAGCGGCTGTATTTCAGTCCTTTTTGAGTGCAGTTGGAAGATATTTGTCATTTGAACCAAGAGCCACACATAGTGAGACTTTGGAGATTTGAAATCAAACCCGAACTCTTCATAATATGCTTGTTCATTTGTGTGATCCTCCAGTAGCAGAGAAGGAAATGCAGATTGTCATTCATGTCCTTACAGGATGTAAAAGCATGGAGTTATGTGCATGAGATGTGTATTTCCAGGGCACTTAAAATATTTGCTTTGTTTTGAGTA